CATTCGGAATTAAATTTAGATCCGATCGGACCGAATCGGATTAGAATCTTCAGTCTGACATGTTTACATGAAAAATTTTTGATCTGATCAGGCCTTCAATCCGATTAGTTGTGTCCATGTAAACGTAGCTAATGAGTAAAGATTGTGACCAGGAGGCGGGTATTGTACTTCATATGGGGCCCAATCAGATAATGTTGGCTATTGTTATGTAGTTACGCCATTGCTCTACAGCATTAATTCCCCTGTAAAATCTGTAACAAGAATCTTCACCATGTCTATTGCTTTTGTTCTGAGTGGGTTTTAAAGCTAAAACACGGTCATCTCAGAGATCATTCTCCTTAATGAACAACATGATACCTGGATATGCCAATGCTGTTTATATTTGCACATTATGGTTTGAACTAAAAAAGTGACTCCTGCTGGCATCCAGAAAATGATATCAATGTTTGAAAGCGACGGGAAAAACAAAAACCTCTGACATTTTTATTGTTCCATGATGTCAAACAAGAACGCTACTGCAAAAGCTGGACTGGACCTACCTGATATAACCAAGTTAATCACTGTAGCGAGAGGTATTGTAAGAAATTTGAAGTTGCTTTTGGAGAGAAAGCTCTCAAAGTTGCAAGTATTATGAAATGCACTGAATTACACCAGAATCCAGTGTAGCAGCGTGAAAGCATTCAGAACTGCTTTTAACTGTTATAGGTAGGGTTTGTGGGGCACATGCATAGTGCTTAAACAAAAGCATGGATAATTATTTTCTAATCATGATGAACCTCAGTATCACAAAATATCTCAACAATATAAATTAAATGTTGTGAATAACTGTTATATTCAATTCCCAGCCAGCTGGGAATTCATATTATCTTCTGATACTTTAAGATGTTTATTACCCAAACCGGTAGGTGTGGTAAATATCTTATTTAATCAGATTTTATTTGGGCTGTCATATATTGTTTATGAACAAACACACCTTACTAGCTGTGTTTTAGAACAATAAAGGAAAGAGTGATTCAAACTCAAATTATGGTCAAATAAATAATTCTACACATACATGGAATAAATTCACCACAACTTCTACTTAAAATATAAGAGTTTATATCAACTCAACTAAACTAAACTACTATCTACAAAGAGGAAGGAGAAACGTGGTTGATAACCCTATTACGGTTTAATGGATTTTATGATGAAGTTTATATGGAAGAATTTGGCCAAATAATGTTTTATTCACCTTATGGATTTGCATTGTAAACTGGTTTGAAAACATTCTAATTGCTCTAAATTAGTGTAAGGCTAATTTGATCATATCCCAAAATCTTCCAGATAAACTTTGGTTTTCAAACACAAAATCCATCTTAAACTGTAATATGGTTTTCAACCATGTTTATTCTTGCTATTTGTACATAGTAGTTTAGCTTAATTGAGTTTCACTAGTTTTAGTTAAGAGTTTTAAAATCAAATATGTTTGACTTGGAGCTGAATTATTTTCATTAATAAACTCTTATATTTTGAACAACAGAAGTTGTCATGAATTTATTCCATGTATGTGCAGAATTAAATGTTGACCATGTTTTGAGCTTGAATCACTCTTTTATTTATTGTTCTAACACACAGCTAGTGTGATCATAAATATCTAACAGCTCAAATAATATGTGATTAAAAAGGATATTTAACACCCCTACCGGGGAGGACAATAAGCATCTTAAAGTATCAGAAATCTAGATTCCCAGCTGGCTGGGAATAGAATTGAACATAAAATCACAACATTTACTTGGCATCCCTGATTGCTTGGCCCATTGAATGTAACACCTCTTTTGTCTCCATCACATGCATTGAATTTGTGAATATATTTTTTTGTGGTATAAATTATGTGATTTTATTCTTCGTGGTTTTGTCATTTTCTCATCAGCTGAAGGTTTTTGACACAAAATAAAACAGTGCCATGATAAAAATCAAAACAAGACTTGTTTCCGTGGAATAGAAAACATATTTTTGAAGGACAGTTAACTCTCTCACAAGAAGTCACTGTGACAATATCTATAAGAAATGTAGTTCCAAGATCATTTAACTATCTAACAATGCAGCAGTTTTTTATTAAGTGGTGCTTTGGGTCTAAAATAAGATTTCCTTCCAACCTGATCTCAACTTGTCACAATGTCTTACAGAGAATGGTGAGCTTTACATGTTGCAGAAATGTCCTCAATGGATCCTTGTT